CGGCTGTCTCGTCAACAGTGCAGGCTACGTGTGGATCAAGTCTCCGTCTGACCACTATCTAGTGGAGGCCATGCCCCTTCTCACCACAGATCATTCTAAACAGGTAATGATTGCATTCAGATAGTTTTTGCATTCTCCTATAAAATTGGAATTATTCTTTTTTTGGCCGGACTGGGGCTTATAGATTGGCGATTCACATCAACTAAACATAAATTGCTTAGGTATCTTAAAGGATGCTTATCACATGCGATGCTACGAATGCTGGTTCTGACCTACATTTACTACTTCAGTGACTAGGTTAAGAAGTTTGGTTTAGGTCAGTTACTAAGTAACTACTTGTTGTAACTCAACTAAACTTACATGGCTTATGTATCTAAGGATGCTTATACTACTGATGCTTCGGATGCTGGTTCTGACCTTATTCACATGTGAGTAATTTGTAATCACTGAGGTATAATAATCCCTTGTTCCAGTGTACAAGTCTTACCTATATACAATAGTCGTTACATGTGTTGGACCTTGGTTATTACTGCCGTTAAATTCGTTAATATACAATATTAAAAGAATTAGAAAAAAAAGGTGTACTAGCAAGAATAGATCCATTGGGCTAGTCATAAAGGTGTACTTTATTCTCATTCACTTGACTGAAAAAGTAAGGTTGTTTCATAAACTGTCTTTGTGCCTTCAGAGAGGCGAACAAATCTGTTTCCATCGGTGTTTTGATATCCTCCCTGATGTCACCTGTCGCTCCCCAGAGGAAAGCTACATTATTCTACAGGGAAGGAAGCCAGTTGGTAGGAGAGATTTATCTTATTAAAGTAATGTATTAATGGTGGTGGTGGTGGTGGTGGTGGTGGTGGGGGGGGTCATGTATCATTTTGAATTAGAGTGACGAGAGAAGTTATATGATTTATTTGTTTGTATTAAATAATTTTATTTATATACTTAACATTTAAGATTAAGTATTAAGATATTTAACATGTTTAACTGATATTGAGGATGCAGTACCCATTATTAAGATATTTGACTTGTATATTTATACGACTTTGAGGTAATTACATGTTTACCTGAGATTTAGGATTAAGTATCACTGTGTAATTTATGCTGAAGTAAGCCCTCTGACCGAAAGTAATGGGACGGGCTTATAAAAGAACAAAAGGGAAAAGGTTTTGTTGGCATTTCTTTTTAACTGCAATACATATTGGTGGGCTTATTACCAAGCATGGGCTTATTGTCAAGCATGGGCTTATTGCTGGATAAAATAGTAAGTACATTTTATATATTTACCCGACTTCGAGGATTAAGATATTTTACAAGTTTACCTGTTATTGGGGATAAAAGATTAAGATATTTTCCAGTACTGAAAATGTAAGAAAATCGTATAATAAATTCCTTGTTCTTAAAGAAATATATCAGTTTTTAAATACTGCTATTGCAGATTATGCAGATAGTGATCTACTGTTTGATAAACAAGAATTTGAGAGCCCTGTATTCCAGCGACCCTATCAGTACCTACGGCGCCTGGACGAAAGGAGAGGCCTGGCTGATGTCAGTCCTTATGAGCCAGAAGGAGACCAGATTAACTGTCTCCAGACATTTTTAAGGTATAAACTCAATATATAGAAATTTTCAATCAAATTTTTTTTTATGCTCCCCGAAAATGTTTGGAGGGAGCATATAGTTGCCGCTTTGTCCGTCTGTCCTTTTCGTGTCCGTAGCATAACTTTACCCACGTTTAGGCTAGGATAATGAAACTTGGTGTGTTCATCACTCATACTAAGACGATGTGCACTGTGCCAAATCTAGGGTCAACAACCCTCATTTACAGAGTTATTGCCCTTTTTGGAGGGAGCATATAGTTGCCGCTTTGTCCGTCCATCCTTTTCATGCCCGGAGCATATAGCTTTGCCCACATTTAAGGTAAGATCATGAAACTTGGTGTGTACATCAATCATACTAAGGCGATGTATTGAGGAAAAGTAATTAATATATACTATGACTCATGGAGATGGAGGTGCTGTAATAAGGTATGTAGTTGTCATTGTTTTGAAACTGCTTCCCTATCATAAAATAAGGATTAAGTATGAGTCCACTTTTAAGACCTTAGACATTAAAAGTGAAAGTCCATTATGTGTGAATTGTTGTTAATGTAGGATGTCTATATTCTTACAGACACTGTGGCGTGCGTGACCCTTCGTGGGCAGAGCTGAAACACTTTGTATGTTTCCTAAACTCACAACTACAGGACTTTGAGGTTTCTGCCTTCTGTGGTGCAGCGGCCAAGGAAGACTTGCCAGGATTTGACAAATTTGTGTTGAAATTCCTCATCCAAATGTCAAGGGTATGTTGTATAAAAAGATACGATCCTCATTGCTATGGTTACATTTCCATGACACATCCCAAGGTCAAACTCGGATGACCATTTGTTTACATTTTTAGCTCACCTGGTCCGAAGGTACCACAGCGTCCGTCGTCCGTCCGTCCGTCCGTCCGTCCGTCCGTCCGTCTGTCCGTCCGTCCGTCCGTCCATCCGTCCGTCCGTCAACTTTTCCTTTAAAACGCTACTAGTCCTGAACGACCAAGTAGATTTTGACTAAATTTGGTCTAGAGTATCCTTAGGCCAAGGGGACTCAATTTTGTATAAACGCCGGGTGTTGTCCCCCTGGGGGCAAAGGAGCAGGGCCCAATAGGGGAAATAGAGGTAAAACCTTGAAAATCCTTCTTCTTCTGTAGGAATGAAAGGATTTGTTCCATATTTAGTCTAAAGCATCCATGGATGAAGGGGAACCAATTTTGTATAAACCGTGGGTCTAGCCTCTCAGGGGCCTGAGGGGCGGGCCCAATAGGGGAAACATAGCAAATTATTCTTTAAAATCCTTCTTCTTCTGAAGGAATGAAAGGATTTGGTCCATATTTGGTGTGGAGCATCCTTGGGTAAAGGGGAACCAACTGTGGGTGTGGCCCCCCTGGGACCTGAGGGGCTGGGCCCAATAGGGGAAATAGAAGTAAAACCTTTATAATCCTTCTTCTACCATATGGATTGAGGTATTTTATCCTAATTTAGTCTGGAGCATCCTTGGACAAAAGGGACTCAATTTCATATAAACAGCGAGTGTGGCCCACCTGGGGATAGAAGGGAGGGGCCCAATAGGGGAAACATAGCAAATTCTTCAAATTCCTTCTTCTTCTGTACGAATGACAGGATTTTGTCCAAATTTGGTATAAAGCATCATTGGGTGAAGGGGAACCAATTTTGTATAAACGGTGTGTCTAACCCCCCTGGAGGCAGAGAGGCGGGGCCCAATAGGGGAAATAGAGGTATAACCTTTAAAATCCTTCTTTTACCAAAGGGATTTAGGGATTTTATCCTAATTTAGTCTAGAGCATCCTTGGGCCAAGGGGACTTAATTTTGTATATGCAGTGGGTGTGGTCTCCCAGGGGGCAGAAGGGCGGGGCCAATAGGAGAAATAGAGGTAAAACCTTTTAAATCCTTCTTCGACCATCGAGATTAAGGGATTTTTTCCATATTTAGTCTGGAGCATCCTTGGACCAAGGGGTCTCAATTTTGTATAATTGGTGGGTATGACCCCCCTAGGGGCATAGGGGTGGGGCTCTGTTTGAAGTTTGTTCTCGCTATATCTCAAGTACTGGATGGATCTTTCTGAAATTTCATATGTACTTACAGCACCTACCATTGAGTGCTATATCTTTACTTCATACCAATTATTTTAAACATATTCAGGTGAGCGATACAGGCCCTCTGGACCTTTTGTATTCAAGATACTAGCCTGAGGCTAGTAGACGCTAAACATCCACTAGCCCAAAATATATTCTGCTGGCCTAACAACTACAAAATGGATCAAGCTGACAACATGACCACATGATCTATTTCACTATATTACCTTATTACTGAATAACTGAATGCCTTTAAAATAATTGTAGTATGCTAGTATACCTCTAAATTTCACTAGTCTAATCTGAAAATCTGGTACACCCCTGTGTTTAGTGTCATGGACCTCATGTATATATGCATTTTGAATTTGTATTACAGGATTTTGCAACAAGGTCACTAGTGATGAGTGAAGAATCCCCTATCCAGAGGATGCAGAGAATGGCCCTTGTAGATGAGGAGACAGGAGGAGCTGGAGAGGAGAACATCATCAAACAGTTCCAGATGAGGAGGACATGGGAGAGCAGGTCAGTAGCCATTACGTCACACCCAGCTAGATCTCCCAGGTCTGTAGCCTATTCAACACCTAGCTATATCTCCCAGGTCAGTAGTAATTTCGTCACACCTAGCTATTTCTCCCAGGTCTGTAGCCATTACGTCACACCTAGCTATATCTCCCAGGTCTGTAGTAATTTCGTCACACCTAGCTATTTCTCCCAGGTCTGTAGCCATTACGTCACACCTAGCTATATCTCCCAGGTCTGTAACCATTCTGCACACCCAGCTATATCTCCCAGGTCTGTTGCCATTTCGTCACACCCAGCTATATCACATTGACACAATTTCAAATATATCATTTTCAAGGACAATCTTTGGTGAACATGTATAGAAAGATCAAGGCTAAATGAACATTCTATACATAATAAATTAGCTTACTGCACACTAAGTGGTTGATAGTATTCAAACGATAATTATTAACTTAATCAAATATGCCAGATACTGATGAAACTTTGTCAACATTTCAACTAAGCAAGAAGGCTATATTCTTATTTTATTGTAATCTGCCTGTAATTAAGTAGCAAGCAGGAATTTCATTAGTTTAATTGGAATTAGAAAATAGGCATAGGGTGGCAATCCCAATACATTTGTGAAGGTTGATATATATAGGGAAAAGACAAAAGGGAACTATGGAAAAGGGAGGTAATTCTTAATCAAATAAAGCTTATTTAAATATGCTTTTATTTTTAGCTCACCTGGCACGAATTGCCAAGTGAGCTAATGCCGTGGTGCGGCGTCCGTCGTCCGTCCGTCCGTGGTCCATCTGTCGTCCGGCGTCAATATTTTACTTTAAAAGAATTCTTCTTAATAACCGAAAGGCCTAGGGTGATGATATTTGGCCAGAAGCAAACTGGGATGAAGGGCTACCAAGTTTGTTCAAATAAATGACCTTCATCTATTTTCAAGGTCACAGGGGTCAAATATGTTAAAAACTTTAAACAACTTCTTCTC